CGTACCATGTTACGACGAAAAATTTTCTCGGACTTAATTACGGCAATTTCTCCCTGAAATGGCAAATTTCGGGTTGCTGTGAATTTCCCTGTGCTAGTTCTACGCATATGTAATTTATAGCTATGTCGAAGAACCGCGGAGCTGCAAGGTGCGTGACCGATCTTCGTCGATTCGTGTCACGTGGCCTCCGAATTGCCTTCGAATCGTGTCACGTGGCCTCTGAATTGCCATCGATTCGTGGCAAAAAATTAGAAATAAAAAAGTTAAGTTATCGTTTTCATTCTAGCTTTCGAATTGCCTCCGAATCTTCTCATGTGGCCTCCAAATTGCCTCCAAATTGTCTTCAAATCACCTTCGAATTACGTTTAAACTATCTTCGAATTGCCTCCGAATCGTGTCATATAACCTCCAAATTGCTGTCGAATTGCCATCGAATTGTCTTTGAATTGTTGTCGAATTGCCACCGAATTGTCTTTGAATTGTCTTCGAATTGCCATCGAATTACTTCCGAATTGCCTTCGAATCGTGTCACGTGGCCTCTGAATTGCCTTCGATTCGTGTCACGTGGCCTCCGGATTGTCTTCGAATCATATCATGTGGCTTCCAAATTGCCTCCAAACTGTCTTCAAATTGCCTTTGAATTGCCTTCAAATTGCTTTCGAATTGCTTTCAAATTGCCTTCGAATCGTGTCACGTGGCCTCCGAATTGCCCTCGAATCGCGTCACGTGGCCTCCGAATTGCCGTCGAGTGGTGACAAAAAATTAGAAATAAAAAAGTTAAATCATCCTTTTCATTCTAATTAACATCAGCACGCTGGCCGCTGCCTTTTTCGCCGACTACCCCGAGTTTCTACAAAAAACGAGCCTCGAGGTCCGAAGGATCGCGACTCAGTATTCTCGGATCTGCCGGTTTCAATTCCGACCACCGAACATTTCTTGGAGAAATGACTGCAGTTTGTTGCAAGATAATTCCGATCGAAAGAAAAATATAAATTCCGGCAACGAACGGATAATGATACTTTCGAAAGCTCGCTGAAAGCCTGCACGAAGGAATTGTAATAGAAAGGGTCATTATGTGGTAGAAAGATAGCTTTCACGTCATATCGTAGCTTGTTAGTATGCCGGGCTCTGCCGGCGTTGAATTTGGATGGGAGAGATACGATGCTTCCGGCAATTGCCGATGAGCTCACGAGAGAGGAAACATAATAAAGCATATCTTTCATAGGAACGTCGAGACGCTGTTCTCTGCTCCCTTTGTGAGAGTTAGCTGCTCCTTACGGTATCAATGAATATTGTATCATGTACTAGCGCCGAACCCCTGCATACACTATAGACTGATAAAAGCACGCTCTTACGTTTTTCCATTTTCCACTGTGTAATATTCAGATACACGCGCGTCTCCCCTGTCTGTGTATCGAAGAACTATAAAGTAAGAGAGAGAGACAGAAAGAGAGAGAGAGAGAGAGAGAGTAGTATGTAGA